CCTAGAGGCGCCCAAAGTACAGGGGAAAGGGGAACAAGCTAGACACCCTTGGTTTCATTTATGGAGGCAATACTGCTTATTTCCCAAATAATTTCTCGTCTGTAAGCACGAAAATGAGTTCTAAATTACAGGATACAATATTTGAAAGTTTATTGCTTCAGGCAGTTTTTTTGTGCTTGGATATATGCCCTTAGATGGGACCCTCTGCTCAGACTACTCAGGGTTTATTTAATGCTCAGACCCGAGGGAGGCCAGCTCTGTTTAAAATGGAAGCTTTCATTTCAGTTCTCTTGACGATACGGTATATGGGTGAGATACAATTTAAAGGAAATGGCTGGATGTGCATGGGAGGTACTTAAGGGGCAATATATATATGTTTTAATAAGGTGAACTGTTTGCAGCATATATAGGATCTCTAAGGGAGATTTTCAAAAACTTCAGGATCCCGCTCACAGTCCATTAGACTTGTGTTCCTGTTAGTCTTGTGGATACTTTTGGAAATCTTCTTATAGTCTTCTTGTATCTTCTTTTGTTTGTACAACTAGATCAGCGTGTGCTTTACCAGGAACAGATAATACTATCCGATGTAGCAGTAGTGTTCGATGTACACAGGGCTTTTACAGAGATGTCATGCTTATCTCACTTTTCACTGGGGCTTGCCTCATACTACATATATATGTAGTTTTCTGAGTAAGATCTTGTACCTGCTTTTGAGAGGGATGAACTAGGCAGGTGACTTTATTATAGACATCATTATAAACTCTGGTGTTCTAGCTTTGAGTTCTGTGTAGGATATTCACAAAGTGCCGCTCACAACAGGTTTTCTCCTCCACCCTCTTCCCCCCCCAAAAAAGAGGCTGGACTGGCATACAAACATTAATGAAGGAATACAAAGGAAATATAGCCACACACTGCTATATTACAGAAGGGTAATGCACAATACACATACACATATGTAGAAATAATTTGCTTAAAAATAAGGCGGAAAAATAAAATTACATAATCAAGCACATCTTACAAACACTGTGAAGAGAGTTCTAGAGCAGATTTTGATTTCTTCTAGCTTGTTCAGAGTTGCATCTTATGAAGTAAAGAATTTGCTCCGAACTTTCAAGTAGTAATAGTCCAAGGAATTTAGTAGAGAACTACAGATCACATAATAAACTTTCTATAGCATATTTAAAACAGTCAGTCAAACTCTAGAACAAGCATGTTGTTCTCCATTAAACACCACAAATTGAATTGTGTTCCCAGTTCAGTCAAAGGCAAAATTCTATTGATTTCTGTGAGTCTGGAGTTACATCTTATCCATTGGTTACAAAATTCTATTAAAATATTACTACTATTGATTAATTTGGGTCATTTATTAAATTAATTTGTATGGAACTATTTATTTTTCCATAGACTTTGTTTCTTTACATTGTTGCTTATCATGGGTGCATGATCTTATTATTAAAAATATTGTTTAGCTTGTTTTAATATGAACTGTGAGAAAACACTATCACTGTTTATGTTCTCTATGCCTATAAACTATGCTGGTGTGAGTGGGTCTCAGCAAAAATATCGGCCTGATTGTACAGAAGACCCTTATTTAAAAATATATCTAAAAATATATATAAATATATATATATCTCACAGAGTCCTGCAGCAAGTAACCAACACAGTGTTTGTGATTTGTGCAATATTGCAAAATGTTGTCAGACGCAAGGAGTTTGCAAGGGAATACTGCTGCTTCTAAAAAGAAGGATGTGAATGAGTTTGACCTATATGGATTACAAAAGAAATATTAACTTTCACCAAAAAGATGATATTTAGGATGAACATAGAGCTATGTTTATTCTCTGAAATAAGGGTTATTTTTCATATATTTCAACTTACCTTCCTCTGCTGAATAAATTCTTCATGCAACCTTCCATTAAACCTACAGTAAATCAGTCCCTTAGTGAGTGCTTTTCTTTTAAACCGTTATTATCTTGTCCTTATTCACTGTTATCTCCTCTTTCCCAGACAGGAAAAAAGAACCCCAGCTGCTTAACTCCCCTCTTCTTTGCAATGGGCCAGAATTTCATATCACAGTGGAACTTAAGACCTTTATTACTGTTTTACACAGTAATGCAACCCAAAGCAAAGCCACACAACCCAAAAGCTATTCCAAGTTACTATTAAAATAATATTAAACGTTCACCTTTCCGCGCATTAAAATTGTCCGTGCTGCAACATTAGCCACAGCAGAGCCCACTGGGGGTAACCGCAGCTCCAAAACGCAGCCCCAACAGCAGCAGATACAGGGCAGAAGGCAAAGGCAGCTTTCTAGCTGCCCTTCTGTGCAAAAGCTGAAATCCATCCAGACAGATTGAATGCTTCAAAATAGGAAAAGGCAGGAGGCATCTAGACGTACTGACTTTTGGAGTATGAGCTTTCAGTCTTCCTGTGCAAATGCTGGCTGTGAGTGAGGTAGTGGGTTGGTGCGGAGTGTCCGTAGCTTCTGGTTTTCTCACAACAGCGGCAAAAGCAACAGAATATGGCTCCAGCAGCAATGAGGCAGAAGGCAGCTACCCAGCCCAGGTAGAGGGCCTCTCCAAGCTCCCTTTTCTGTGCAACGTTGACCACAGGGTTGTAGAAGTCACTGATGATGCTGTTGGCAACCCAGCAGACTGGAATGAGCTCGACGGCACCCGAGAGGATGAAGAGGAGCCCAGCCATCAGAATAATACAGCCCTTGGCTTGCCAGCTGCTCTGCGCGCACTGCGTGCACTTCATCCCAATAATGGCAATGATGAAAGCGAGGAAGGAGAGCACTGACCCAACACACATCAGCCCTCTGGATGCTTGCAGGTCCGGCGAGAGGGCCAGCATGGAGTCATAGACCTTGCACTGCATCCTGATGTTGGCTTGCCTGATGCAGTGCATCCACAGGCCTTCCCAAATGGTCTCAAACACGATGATGTTGTTTTCAATGAAGGCAGACACCCTCCACTGAGGCATGCCCGTGACAGCGAACGTCCCGATCATGCCAATGCCACCGATGAGCAGCCCGGCAATCTGCAAAGCACTACTGACCATGTTGCCTTTGCAAGGTGAGCACACCTCAGCAGGTCCCTGAGCCAGGCGCACAGTGCTGGCAAAGAAATGAGCAACTTTTTCTGAAAGTCGTTGTCCCTTGTACAAAGAAAGTCTCAGAGTCAGTCTGCACAACTTTAAATTAGCTTAAATCTGGCACACGCTACCTGGGACTCGGCTGCACCTTCATCACCTTTATAATGCCCCCGCCACCACTGACTCAAAGAGGCAAACTGAGCAATCAAGTGGAACAACTTTCCAAAGCAAGAGAAAGGACAGGGTGTGTGTAAACCAGCAAGAGCCACTTAGGATAAATGTACCTTCTGAGGAAAATGCTTTGCATTGAAGTCGCTTATTTAAAAAAAAAAAAAAAAGCCCTACCCTTACCTCTAGCTATTGTCTACACGTTTGCCTGTGCTGAGGAAATGGACTGGTCTCGGTAGGGAGACTTAGGTGTGCACTGGTGCAGTTACTGAAGCTGTTGCACTGAACAAGCAAGAATATTCTGCTTCGGCTGGGCTCGGTGGCAAATTGCCAGGAGGAAAGCAGAGCCCTGCTCCCTGCCACAGGGCCTCTGCTCCCAAAAGTACTCTTGTTCTGAAGCTTGAAGGAGAGTACTGCAGTGACAGGATCAAGGGACAAAGCAAATCAAAAGGGTAAAGGTAAAGTAACTCTGAACCTGAAACAGTTTGCAGAGGATAATCAAAGCTGCAAAAGACCATTTGAGAGGTAGAAGGAACAGTAAGAGACCTCAGTTCTGCTAATACCTGCATAGCTTTTTACATGTTTGTTGCTCTACCGAGTATTATGGGGATAGGCAGGCTTCTGGAGATGTCCACATGCTTAAACGATTGCACAGTCAGGTCTACAGAATGGTGATTTAAACTATGTAGCAAATTGTTCTCCTGCGCAAAAGTCAACCCAGCAATTACCCTATGATGGAGTCTAGTGCAATGGAAAGCATTGGCTCTCCAAGTAAAGACCTATTAGAGCTATCCATGTACAAAAGAATGCTTTAGAAAAACATCATTTTAATTAGAAAAAAATTTAAACATCATAATTATGGAGACCAGGTGAACTCTTCATTCAAGAGTTCTTGTATGATGTGACCAGCAGACAATCCTGGAAAATGTCAGGTGAAGAAATTTGGTAAAGTCAGAGCAACAGAAACCACAGTCAAAAATCTAGACAAAAAACCAGGCACGTAACAGTGGATTCTTTTTACAAATTCATATAGCTACGAATGTATGCATGAAATATTCAGCCTGATCTCTGCATGTGCCTTAACACGGAAAATAAAAAATTAGGCATAAACTAGGATTTTTTGTTAATAAAGTAGTACTTCATATGTTAAGACAAGAACTAATTTGTTACACTGTAAAAGATCAATTTAGGATATAATTAGCTAGATATTGAAATACTAGTCTCCAGTCTCCTGCTATTCATTTGAACTGACTTGCCTCTATTTCTCTTCTTGCCATTTATGTATCTTCAAAAACAGAAAGTAAATGCAAGAAAATAGAGCAGTGCAGTGCTAAATATGCCAGCTTGTTGGCATATCAAAGATAGAGAAAAGATAGAAGTCCCACTTACATGTAATATTTTATGCTCCCTATGTGTATTTCTCTGTGTGTGTGTGCGCAAAACTGTGGTTAGGAGGCAAGGGAAAGTAAGAAGCACTCTACAAATCTTTCCATATTCAGTTTGGTTTTCATCCCCACCTGCTTTTCCAACCTCTGCAGCAGGCTGCTGCTTATAAAGACATGCTAAAAGGATGAAGGCAGGTTAACATCTCTCTCTGTTTCTGGTCCCTTGAGCCCTGATTTGTGGCCAGGCAACTTTCCACTATGCCCTTTTGGTTTTGTTTATATCTCTGAACTCAAACCTGCTGTCTGCATGCCTTTCCTAATCCAAAGGCATTGAGTGCCTTGCCCTGAAAAGTGCAGTTAGTCTGATGGCAGCTCCAAAAGCATTTTGTGGGATGAGAAGCCAAGCAGGAATCTGTTTTTTTCGGGTTTGCTCCTACTGCTGTGGTGCTCAGCAGTACCTAATCCCACTGCAACTACACTGCCTGCTCTGCACTGCTCCTGCCGTACATTTGTATTTGCAATTTTGGCTTCTGCTTGCCGTCAGTCAGCCTGCCCTGGCAGTTCAAGCCCCTTTTGCCGTGTCTGTGAGCAAGGCAAGGGAGAGGCCCTATAGCCTCCTGAGTTAGGGACCATGACTGCCATGTGAGCTGAAGGCCCGTGTCATTTTTGACTGCCCTTGGGCTTTACACTCTGCAGCCCCATGCCCCGGCGCCCTGCTGCGCTCCTTGCCTCTGCTGGCCTGCATGCACAGGGGAGTGGGCAGTGCCCTCCTCCCAAAGGTGAGGTGTGCTGCAGGTGCAAAGGTGCTGGGGGGTAATAGCTTTCCTCCTGCTGCAACCCCTGGTCTCCTGTGAAGGGTGTAATTTTCTGGCCAGCAATAAAGGGTCACTTGATTCTGTTGGGCAGAATGTATACATTCCCAATGCATTAATTTGGAGAGGCCACACTAACTCTTACTGTATTGATGTAGGAACTGCATAGACTGCTATAGCATGAGAGAGTCTGGATCTGTGTAACTGAAATCACGATTTGCTGCTTTGCGTGCTGCAAACTAGTCCTGTCATACAGACCCATAAGTGGTGGGGTTCTGGGTACAGGACTTTGGGAATACCGAGCAGGGCAAACTTCTTGGATGACCGGATTCATAGAATCACGGCATAATTCAAGTTAGAAGGAGCCTCTGGATGTCATCTAATCCCACCCATGCTTGAAGCTGCGCCCTTCAAAGTCACAGGGTAAGAATCTGATCAAGGTCCACTTCAGCCATCAAAAAAAGTCCCGAAGATTTCTTGGGGGAAGAAGGCAGTTAAATCCTGTTCCCCCAAGGGTGAGACAAGGAAGATTTTGAGGAGAGGCTATAAATGCACAGTATTTCTCTGCTAAAATGGATTTGGAATATTAAATATATAGTAATGTAATTATCATTGCATGACTTTGCAGCCCCATGGTTGCCATTCAAACAGCAAAAAAAAAGCTACCAGCCTATAGCAGAACAAATAAACAAGCACTTTAATAACATAACAGTAAGTAAATACAAGCGTGATACAAGCAGCAGGACCGATTTTTCTTAGAGATTACTGAAGTTCTAATTTACAGGACATGGAAAATAATTAGCTGAGCAAATATAATTTAACCACGTTATTGATTAATTTACAAAATCGTTAAAGCTCCCATATAAATTCATGGTAAGAGTGTGTCTGTGTCAAGGATTCAGTATTTGCACATTCTTAGAAGGATTACATTTTAGTGCCTTATCTTGCTTAAAACCATTTTCAGAAGGAAATGTGGGGAAATCTTATTTAGCATTATGGATTGCATCTGCTTGTTTACAATTAAAACACAGGAAGGGGGCAAGTCAAGAATCTCATTAGTCGTTCTTCTCTATATTCAAACATGCCATTTCATTATGGGGAAGTATCAGAAATACTTGTGACTAGCTAATCATATTTCACTGTTGGCCACAGGATGCTATTATTTTGTTATAAAACAAATATGCACATACATAGTTTAACCATTTTTCTCTTTTTTTTCTTTCTTTTCTTTTCTTTCCTTTTCTTTTCTCTTTTCTCCTTTCCTTTCCTTTCCTTTCCTTTCCTTTCCTTTCCTTTCCTTTCCTTTCCTTTCCTTTCCTTTCCTTTTCCCACTGTGTTAAGGAATTAATATCCTTAAAGTCAGTGTCAAGTTTTTCTGTATGACCTGTGTATTTTCCTGCTTGGTGTTCCCAGCTCTGCCCTCCTCCCCTTTCTCCTCTCCAGAGCGGGTAAGTCAGCTGCAGGCACTCGTTGTTCTGTATTCTTGGTGAATAATGTGGACCTAAAGCAACTACAGCACTGCCTGAGCAGAAAATACATAATGTTTCAGGACTGGGCTTGGCTGGTCTGTCTGTTAGCTTCAAACAGGACCCCATGTCAGGACATTTTGCTTCCCCGTCTCTTTGACGCTTTGGTAGCACCTTTCTCCAGTGAATCACCTTGTGTGAGAGCAAGAAGGGATTTCTCATCCTTCTTACATGGCTTTTCTACTGAACGCTGCTCACAGTTTGAGGAGGAGGTGAAGTGAGGAGATAACCCTGTGATTAGCTCAGCTGCCACTTAGCACTATTTCTCACAGCTTCTCTGGGAACACGGTGCTCCCCACCAGGGCAGTACAGCCCCCAAGTCCCTGCCATGACACATTTTCAGCCACTAAAGGTGTTTTGGAATAAAATACATCAGGAAAATATGTTTTAAGCATAATGTCGTTCCTCTTCCTGAGCATATAGCATTTTTTAATTCCAGAGTTGTGAAGTGCTAACAGCAATCACTGATGCTGAGGGGGAGGTGGGGAGAGGGGGAAGAAGTGGTTGCTCAACACCTCCAAAAATCTCACCCTGCATCAGTAGCACATTGAAAAGAATCCTGATTATTGATGCTCTTATGGAAAAACAGAGGAGTGTTGATGTCAGACAAGTTGTTCAGCATTTTCTTTCTTGGAAGGCTATTATTACTGTGTCAGTGGATGTGCACTGCTCTATGGGTCGCCCCAGGTATACCACAACCTGGCATTTATTTTTCTCCAAGATCTTTTACCTAATGCCGCAGAACATGAAAAGCCAGTTCAACATACCTAGTGCAAGCAGAAAGAGTCACATACGTTCATAATCAGCTTCACTGAAGAGCCACTTCTTTTCAATTGAGGTAACTTTTACTCCTGTACCTTCTCTCTCCATCACTTACCACTAACAAGAGACCATCGTCTAGATGGCAAAAGGGACAATGACAGAAATGCAAAACATAGTAATCCTTGGCTAGTAACGTAACGGCATTGAAGAAAATCTTTTTTGCCTAATATCCTTTACACATTTGCTTCTCTTGCTCCCCATGCTTTAAATCCCATATATAAAATCCATGACAATGTGATGATGTTCGCCTTGGA